AACTAGATAGTCATGTTAAGTATTGAATTGTCATTATGATTAATGGTATAGAGCCATTTCCACTCATGAATGGACAAGGTTAAAAGAATCAGGTTTAGCTTTTGGACAGCTTTTTTTTTCACCCTGAAAAATATGTGCAGTGTTATAGTTAAGCTGTGTATATCTCAAGAAAAGTCCATAAACAGGTTGGGGCAGCTTGTACGTGGCCTGAGAGGTGAAGCCCAAGGCAAAAACAAAAACCACTTACTGCTGGTAGTTGCAACTATTGGCCGTGAGCTAATGGCAACATTTGAAGGTGACTGATGACAGCAGCTGCATTTTTATGAGCTCTTCTCAAGCTGCATTTGCATTTTTGTGACTGTAAAGTCTGAAGAATCAAAATGAGTCTACAAAAATACTAGATTTTAAAAAAACAAAAAACAAAAACAGGATTTATATAAAAAAAAAATGTTTGTTTTTTTGTTTGTTTTGTTTTCTGTGCAGGTTTTGACTGGTTCTGGTTTGGACTGAGTGACTTTCAGAGGCTTTCCTGGAAATTCCTATACCATCACACGTCTATGACCGGACCATCGATACATTTCTTTTTCTTCCCCTCTTGCGTGTGTGTGGGTGTATATGTCAGCTGTTTGCAGCCAATCAGAAGTTGTTTTTTTTTTCTCCTTTTACCAATTGGCCATTTAGGGAAGGGCTTTGTGCACAGTGCAGTGGTTCAGTAATGGAACATGTGTATGTGCGCGTGCATGCTGGATAGAGGGCTATACAAAAAAGAAAAAAACAATCCTAAATTGGGGTTTGAGGATGCTGTTAGTGAGAGGTGCCAAAGGAAATGAAGCAATATTTTGCTGTTAGTGAGTTGCTGCCTAAGAAAATATAGTGATTTGAGTCTGCTGTAACACACATACGCAAACCAGAAACATGCATGATGGAAAATAATTTACAGTAATGCCAAATTCTAATGTACAGTAACAGAGAGAGCCTTAAATGGCCAATATAGCATTAGGTCTATTGAAATACTACTACTGATATATAGTGTTATTTCTAGTCTATGCCAAAGTAAAACAGAGATGCACTTTTAATCAAAACAAGATGAACGCACACAGTTATTGCTAAATTTGTTACTTTTAGCTCTGTATTCTGTATGGTTATTAAGGCACCCCTCATTATTGAAACGATGCATGCAAGAAAGTGTGTGTGTATGTGCGTTACAAATTTTTTAATTAAGGATATATTTCTTCAGATGATTCTTACTGTAATTAGGTCACATAAAAATCATTTATAAATAGTGGCAGTATAAGTAATCTTGCTGTTAATAGTGGAGATTTGTTTGTATGTACCGCTTTTATTTATTCCCTTGAGTCCTTGTGTGTCAGTGAGCTTCTTCACCTGAGTGAAGCTGATACAATGCCAGGCCAGAAACAAAAAGTGATGTGCAACTGTCGGACAGGACAGACAAAAACGAAGCTGGCGTGTGTGAAGCAGATCAGAGTGGACTAGAAAAGTGAAAGAACTGGGAACTGGTTTCAAGGGGGTTGCTTTTTAGAAACCTTTAACTTGATGGTCATGAGAGAGTAGAAAGTAGGAGATTGGGATTTGCGCCCCTATATTAAATAAATAAATATATATAGCGCTCAGTATTACTACGCTCATATCATTTCAGAAGTTTCAACTTACCTTTAGAGAGGGTTCCCAAATGCTCGTCCAAAACACTTTAGTTGGGGTTATACTTTTTAGACGTATTATGAGATCAGATTGATTTAGTATATTGAAAATTTGAGCTAAGGTGATATTTTATTGAGCGTTGACTATGGTAATATAATTTCTGATCTGTGGCATAACTGGGGCTGTGCACACAGGACCAAAGAAGTAACAGCAAACCGCTAGATCCTCATTTGTACAACAGCTTTATTAGTGACGTGCATCATCTGTGTAGTAGTGTGTCACAAAATGTTGATGCGGGAATGGTGGCTCAGTAATGCAGTCTGGAATCAGCAGCCGCTTTTCTTCACCCCAAACACGAAGGGATTTTAAAAGCACATTCAATAATTAAAACACTTCTTTCTTTTTTTAAAGTTAATGCAAAGAAAGTACCAAGATGAAAAACGTTAGATTATTTGGGATTAGTCATAAGACATGAACAATCTATAGGACTGGGAAGTTTAAAATTGAATGAAAAAGTTGCGCTATAGAGGATTAAGAGACGCACCGAACATGCCCCTGGTACTAAGCTGAACATATGGGGCTGATACTGACACAGCAGCAATACTGTAGCCAGATGAGGACACAAAGGAAATGCTGAAGGTCTGGAGGAAGGAAAACTGTAGACTCATTCCTACAGAAGCACGTCAGGAGCACTTCCTGACATCCATTCTTATTGTTGTTGTTGCCACAACAACAAATGCCACCTTTGAACCTACTGAACCTCACCGGGTTTGCTCATTTTGATCACTTAAGTGTTCATAGGCTTCAAAAACTATATATGATTCTAGCATCTCTCTCCACGTATTGTTCTTTGGAAGTGTATATAAATGTAGTTTGAAGGCAAAAAAAGACAAAGACAAAAAAATAATAGCTCCCCTCTGTGTCTTAAGCTCTTTTTTTTTTTTTTGTAGCTACACACTCTTCTTCATAACACACTCACACCTTTTAATTGCGTAATCACTTGTTTCTACTGCACAGTTTTATCCTACATTTTGTGTATTGAGTCACTTAAGTAGGTTGGGGAGGGAGTATTTTCCACAGAGGCTTTTGTAATTTTTTACTATGCATTTTCCACAATGGTGAGAGAGGCAGGACTTGCCTGTAACTTGTCTTTGCATTTTGATGATTGTGAATCAATTGAAAAAAAAAAAAAATTCAGTGCCAACCAGCTCTGTACTGTGGGTACTATACCTCAGGCTACCCACAGTGCTTTTTAAGAAAAATTCAATGTCAGTGGTAGACATTTGGAGTCCAGCTACCACCAGCATCAGCTGATTCCTTCAGTCTCCACTGGCTCAACGACTACTACAGGCACTTCTCCCGCTCTCTCCTTTAAATGCTTTTCCTCATGTATTCCATATACAAAATGTATAGAAAACTTTATTTATAGAGTGGTGCCTTGTTCTAACGATCAAGTTGTTTGCTTCATAAAAGACTCTTTAGTTGAACACAATCACTGCTGTCTGTGTACCTCAATGAGAAACATGACTAGTAAGCAGAGAAAAATCATGACAGGATTCAGATTTTGGTGGTTTAAGGTTTGAGGGTTGTTTCTATATGTAGATTTAACTTGGGCTTCATCGCACTATTTTTGTGTCCATCTCTATCTCATAGTGAGGATGTAAGCCCTCTACCAACTCAGCCGACCAGTGCCCAGTATATTTAAAAAAACAAAATAGACACTGCTCCTTGCCATACTGGTGTTTGCCACCTTATCTATAAACATTGTATATGCAAGAACTATACTGTGTATTTGGGTTTGATTTTTATTGTGTAAGATGCTCTTTAATGATGTATACCTAAACAAATTTGTGGTACGTTCTATTTTTTAATTCTTTTTTTTTTTTTTTCAATAAACTGGGGAAATTTTTTTCTGTTTTCTTATTTACAGTTGGGAGAACATCATGACAATTGTTTAGGGTTCAACCATAGTTGGGCTTCACTCCATTTGTTTTGAAATATACAGTGCATATTTTAAAACACGTGAATTATAGAATATCAGGATTCCATGTAAATCCCAGTCCTTTAAATTCTAAATATTTAATTGAAAAGATGATGTGTCAAATCTCAAAGCTGATAATATTAATCTGCAATATTCAGTTAAATAATTGTGCCCAGAAAGGTATTTAAAAGGTAAAGATAATGGCTTTATATGCAAGTAGCTATCTCTTTCTAAATGTTGAATTGCAAAGAATTTACAGGGGTTTTTTTAATAGACAGGGAACAAGGCTGAAAAATATTAAATGGATATTAAGGCAAAGCTGTTTGAAACAATAGATTTCTGTAGTGAAAGGCACTGCATTAGTTCAGGAACACAGTTCATGACACTGCATGCACCAATTAAACAAAGCTCCGCTATAAAACAAGAAAAGTAAACAAGATCCAGAAACTCTCCACCTATGGGTCTGACCTCATTTGAGACAAGGTTTGGATCAGCCATCAAACAGGCCAAGAACAGACTACAAAGGACTGTGAGGTCTGCAAAAAAATAAAACACACCCTAGACATGACCTCTTTCAACTATTCCCCTCCAGTAGGTGCTATAACAAGCAGTGTCACTACTAGAATTTGGCAACACTGGGACCTTAAACAGGTTGCACATGTATTCCAACTCCTCCAGGAAGGTACAGCAATACTTGCCATTGCCAGAAAGCTTCCAGTGTCTTCCAGTAATGGTCTTAAGAGCATAAAGGTTCCAAGAGACAGGCAGTTACTTTAAGAGAGCAGAAAAGGTACCTGCTCCTTTGTGCAAGGAGGAACAGCTGGAAAACTACAAAATGACCTTCAGCAGACTTCAGAGGGTGGTCGGAACATTGGTGTCCTCTAGTGGGTCCTGTGCTCACTGGAGATGATATGTATTCATATCATTAGCAGGTAATGTAGATGTTTAAATGTTAGGGATTTAAATGTTAATCAGAGTGGTGATGAGTGGGAGGAACAACAGCATGGCTCCAAACTGAAATGGTCTCACCCAGTGGAAACACAAGACACACTGAAAAGAAAAATGACTGACCAAGGCTCCGAAATGTTTAATAGTAAGACTTTTACTTCAAAGCTCGAACAGTTTGTCTCCTGAGTTAATGCTTTCAGAAAGAAGAAGAAATGCAATACATTGTCCCTCTATCAACTGTTCCATTTCCACTTTTTATATTTGCAATTTTCAGTCAAGAGCAGCATTTAGTTGCTATTTGCATATTTAGCAGACTTTTTTTTTAAACAAAGTTCTATTTTTTTAAGCATTTGGATGCAGCACTTAAGCAAATGTGGGCTGGTGGAAATTTATTCAAGCATAAATCCTGCCACTGAAAAACAAGACACCAGTGTGATCTTGCAGAAGAGAAGACTGAAGCAGAGCTGTGTGTAGAATTTTTTTTTTTATCAGAATTTTATCCTTTTTTATTCCTATATTGAATTTTGGCTTACAAAAATGGGGATGGTTGTAATATTTGTCCTCTCCAGCTTGGTGGGTGAGTCAGATTATATTTTTAATACATTCAAGTATTTGAACTTGTTTTATTTAGAAGTAATCATTGACATCATCCATTTATTATATATTTCAGTAATATCAGTTATGTTTTTGAAAGATTAATTATTTCAGCGTGTCATATTTCTACATATCGGTTCAGTATATATGTACTTATGTATTCATTTTTGTTTAACTCTTTTGAGTTCTGCTTCAGTGAACCACATTTCCTGTCAAAACAGATGGCTGTGCTATCATGATGACATTTTTGCTTCAGTCGTTCTGGTTACTTATGCTATACAATTATAGATCATTTGGCATTTTTAAAGCATATTTTAATACTTTGTCAGTTTTGAATATGGGTTGTGAAATTATATGCTGTCATCATTAAATAATCGGAGACCTCAATAACAAATCCTACAACATAACCTGTCTTAACATGTGCTTTCTTCAACAGTGGGTTTTGCTTGGGGTGAGCTGATTTTAGAACCAGACAGACCCTCACTGAGTGTGCCAGTCTCTGAAAATGCTTCACTGGAATGCTGCTATAAATCACAGTCGGGGAGAGTGAATGTCCACTGGATCCACTATTATAACAAAACTCAGCAGTTGTTGTTCGATAAAACAGCTGAATCACAGAAAGATTCCAAATCTGAAAAAATATATTGTGCCCAATTGAATTTCCCTGAAGTAAAGCTGAAGGACCTTGGATTTTACCATTGTCTGCTGAATGATAGTGGCAACACATATTACACACATGGAACCTACCTGCGTGTCTACAGTGAGTGTGTGTGTGTGCATGTGTTGTTGTTGGGGCGGGGTGTCACTACTTCATAAGCCATAAATCCTGTTATTGTTAATCTGCCCAAAAGCTGTGAAAGTGGCAGCATCCACATATATTCAATTTATTTAATCTTTACATCTTCAGGATTGTTGCATTGCAGTATGCTGCACCATTCATTCACTTTAAATAGCACCAAATTTAGAATTAAATTTCAGTCAATGTGCAAAGGCATTAGTCACACTGAAAGGCCACTTCACACACTAATCTCATTAAAACCAGATGGTAGATGAGGAAACATAAAACTGCCAATCTGAGGGATTATGTGTGCGATAACCTGCATTGTTAACGTGACTTAACAGTACCACCAATTGTATGTTTAACTGTGATCCTTATGCTAAATTTAACCGTTATATAACAAAACTATCAGTGTCATAATAAATCTCCCAGTAAGGCTTTTGAGTAATTATTTTGTTAGCCTGCGTTTTCATGTGCAGGCTAACAAATACGCAGCATTCACGTGTTCACACTTAAAGCAGAAAAAGATAACTCGTGTTTAAAAACCAATACGTGCAACTGCTAATTTGTTTGTTTGACCTCTGAACCCTTTCTGCATTCCTAGAGCCAATGGAGAAGACCATAAACCTGAGAGAAACCACCAAAAACAAGATCCTGATAGCTGAGGGATTCTTACTGTTACTGTGTGTGATGCTGCCTTCTGCCATTCTTCTGTTCAAGGTCGTTGCATTATTATACAATGATCAGCAGCACTACTGTTGAAGCTATGCTTAATTTCAAGCATTTTCCCAAAAGAGCATTACTTTTACTTTATTATTCATGCATTAAAAAGTAATGGCAGAGCTGTGCGACTCTGGCATGGATTTGTTTTTCTTCCTTCTCCGTCAACAATGGGAATTTGCAACATTTGACTGATTTATTACTTTTGGTTTGCCCTACAGTCAAAGAAGCTTAATGAACTGGAGAAAAAGAAAGCAAAGAAAGAAGAGGAAAATATATATCAGGTCAACATTACATATTCTCAATCTCTTTCCATTACAGGAAAGCAGGAGCTAAGAAATGAACACCATTTCTAGTTGTTGTTGATGTGTATATCTTTCACTGATAATAGCCTTTGCATGATTTCCTTTTTCATTTTCTCAAAAACCAGGGGCTAAATCTGGATGACTGTTGTGCAACATACGATCAGATTGAACGCTCCCAAGCACAGGGCCCGTACCAGGATGTGGGCAACATTAAGGAAGAAGAGGAAGAAATCCAGCTGGAGAAACCATAAAACAAAGTGAATAACAGACAGTTACGAGTGTTTTATCTGTATTTGTCAAAACAATCATAACACAATATCCACTGGTCTGCAACCAGGATTTTAGAAATACTTCCTTATCAACATATCAACTATAAACTTTTTTTTTTCAGTTTTTTTATGATGTTTTTAAATATACTCATTTACATTTTTAAATATATGTAGGTGTTTTGCTTTAGCTTTTTTATTCTAATTTTGCACACAGATTCCAGAAAAAAAATGACGGGTCAGACTGGTTACGTATGTACCCCAGGTTGCGTTGTCGGCTTTTTAAATATTCATTGACGTGCATCTGCTACAATTATGTTTTTTTTGCTATTTCTGTGAGTGCTGTAATAATAAAATAATATTTAAAAAATCCATCAAATCTCTCTGTAAATTGTCTGAGTAATACAATTGCCCTCTGTGTGCAGTGAATAGGATAGGATTGTTTCTTTTAAGGGGTTGCACAACAAAGAGAGTAGGGCGGCACTTACGAAATTTTGATTTGTCCTGATTGGTTACTAAACAGAAGTAGGTTTTCATTGGCTTACATTTCTTGTGTGGGCGTGGTCTCATGGCTTCTCAGGTAGATCCGTTATAAGAAATGTGAGAGGCGGTGCATAAACAGAGTGGGCGAATATGGCGTCCAGCAAGAAGGGTAGTGGGACTAGCAGACTGGAAAAAGGTGTGAATGGAAGGCGCTCGTCCAAACACAAAGAGGGTCCACTGGGTGAGGTTTTTTTTTATTTTTTATAAACTTGTTGTACCTACTACGCTCCCTCTGTGGCTTGTCCCTTTAATAACACCCCCGCCCCCCAATTTGTACGCTGTGTCCTCCTGCTAACGTTCGTTAGCGGCTAAGTTAGCTGTCCTTTGGTAGCTGCCGCTAGGTCTGTTTTAGCAGTAAAAGTCTCGTGATTCTTGTATGACAGAAAGAGGCGCTGAGTTAACATGTGTGAGCTGTTGGTGAAATAATTGTCAAGACAAACTCTGACACTCTGTTGCTGGCATGTCTCTAGTTAGAGCATCCTTTAGACGTAGAAGCCGCCTGCACACCGTTAGTAGTCATTGTAACGTTAGCAGCTAGGTTATCTATGTAATAGACTTTAATTAACGGGACACATACTGTATGTAGCACGTGCTCGTATTTATGTTCACTTGTCACTTTTCGTGACTCTAGCGTCGACCGCTGACACCGACCGGACCCACCTGAACAGGTACGCCAAAAACAACCACTAGAGGAGAAGACTAGATTAACCAGATTAAAGCTGCGAGCGTAACACATGCACACAAAGGGGGAGTTTATAGTTGTACTGCCCTGTGCACTAATCGATTAAGGTGGACTGATGGTGACGCTGTCACTAGTTCGACCGATGTGACGCAAGAGCAGGGTGACACATGGTGACTAACAGCAAGTCTCTGAAAGGCGGTGGCAGACTTTCAAAGCACGCTGCTCGTAGGGACTGTGGACGTGCTATTATTACTAAACACACTCTCGATTTTGCTCTGTTCGTCTGGTAACTAGTCTTCTGTCTCATTGTTTCTAAGAACAGTCCAGGCCACCACGTTCAAAAGGCCATATTTCTGACCGCAGTCTGAATCTTATCTTTGTCTTTGCTATCTAAACAAATGGCATTGTGTGTTGTAAGCACTTATAACTGGATAGGAAACGCTTCCCTAATCTTACTTGTTATGTAAATTTCCTAACATGCTCAGGTTTTATCATCAGACTTATAATTTTCTTTTCCTATAATGCTATGATGTAAAGGGTGTGGAGGCTCATTGTTGCAAGTTTCCTGTTGTTGAGTTTGGACTTGTGTGCGTGTGAAGGTGCTCTGTTTGGTAGAAAGGTCAAAACTTCGTTCTCATTATACTACTGGGCTCCTGCTGTGCGCTCTTCTGTTTTGCCTTTGCCCTGGACAAAGATGTCTTTCTATAGATTTAATTCTTTGAGTATGACACATGATGTGGCAACTGTCACATCATATGTAAAGAGACCATCTTTCAGAGGTTGTGCTGTGATGGAGGGTGCCTTTTGAAAAACAGCCAATTTTTATGTGCTTGGGACTATAATTACCCACTTTTCTACAGCATGGGTCTGTTTAGGCTTGATAAAGTGGGGAAACAAACACCAACGAGTTAGAGAAGGCTTAGACAAGATCAGTACAGTAAGTCAAACTGGCATTGAGAAGATACTTCAATATAACAACTTCGGTAGTGTTTTCTGAGTGGAAGGAATTTCAAGTGAGAATTTATAGTCAAGACAAAAGGAAAGCTCTTAAGTTTATTTATTCACTGCAGTCACCTGACATTTGGAAAAGCACAGGTGTTACAAGCAATGACAAGAATTCCCATGGGGCAGTGAGCCGGTCCTCACAGTCAGTCCAAATCCAGATGGAATGAGAAACATTCATTTTATTATTTACATCTTTTTCTCATTATAAAATGTTTTTAAAAAATTAACATAAAAATAAACATCCGTCTGTCCATTTTCTTAACTGAATCAGAATCGTGTTTATTGGCCAAATATATGTGCAGACACATACAGGGAAACTGCTTAAGAAAATGAGAAGAGCCCTGTATTACAAAGTCAGTTCAATGTACCAAGGTATTTTTTTTGTCATCATCTGGATTCACTTGCTCTACCCTGGTAACAATAAAAGCAATAAAATTGTTTTAGATTTTCAGCAAAGAGGGGGAAAAAAAACAATCAAGGAATAATGTTGCGACTAAGAATCTCTGTTTCTTAGTAATGCTCATCAGGGACATAAAATTAAAAAAACAAAACAAAACCAAAAAAACCCAAAACCAAAATATTAGATGCTTTTTAAAAACAAAACTTAAACCCCTCCTAGTGTCTGTGCCCAAAGGTCTGAGTGATGTTCCTGGAATGGTGACACCATTTTTCCAGAGAAGGTCAGTAGGTGGTGATTTCATATCTGTCGTTTTCTAATCTGAAACTTAACCTGTACTTATGCCGAAATGTATTCTGCTCAGGAGGTTAAGTTAGGCAGTTCATGCTCATACTCTCACTTAAGGCCAGTTTAGAAGCACCAATTTCAACAATATCTTTGGACTGGGAGAGAGATGCAGGCACTGGGAGAGAATGCAGCGGAGCCTTTTGTTCTGCTGCACAGTGTGTGTGTGTGTGTGTGTGTGTGTGTGTGTAAGTTTGTTTATCTCAGTATTTCTATAAGTAGGTGAAGGTTCATGTCTCCATTCACTGAGTTATGAAACTGTCATCTGTGATATCAGTCAAAAAGTTCTCACTGAGGTCATGTTTTCCGAAAGGAAAATATCCTTCAAATCATGTTTTCACCATCTGTTTTTGGGTGTTCACGTGCTGTCCATGTCCTGCATTCATCCCTGAACATTAGTGTTTCTCAAGAGTTGGTGCAAACTGCATGTTTCTGATGCTTAAATTAATACGAATGTATTAAAGGCACCTCAAATACTCAAAACTCTAACACATGGGGTCACAACACTAAAGTGTTATTGGCACTTTAGGTGTAATGCATATGAGTTAGACTAATGCTGGTGCTAAGTGGTGGAAGGTTTAGTTAATTAATCATAATGTTTTGATAATTTAACAATTTTAAAGTGAATTTTGTTGGGGTAACCATTTGTGAAGGTAGTTTTGTGTAGGGTTTTTTTTTATGTAGTTTTTCCTAAAAAGTCTAACTGTTAGTTCTTGGTAACAAGTAAACTTTGTTCTATTTTATTTAAATATTTAATATTAAAAACCAAACAAACATTTTAACAGTTCATATATTGCTATCATATCATAATCTTATGGTTGTAGTTTGCCAATTAAGTTTAAGGTCACAGGGAGTTCCAAGCTGATCTGCCAATAGCAAAATAGCCTCGAGTTACAGGGAGAAAGTTAACTGGGCAAGGGTCGTCCCTGCTGTCCGTCCTTTTAAAAGAGGCATGGTTAGGATCAACAGAACACAGGGAAGAGCAGCATATTGCTTCTTGTTACAACGTCTGAGAGGTAAAGAGATACATCACAAAGACAAGCGAGCAAGACAACAGAGCTGGAAATCACTTTCTCTTTCCTTTAGACAACACCAGCATCTATTTTTCTTTCTCTCTCATTCTCTCCTTTTTTCCCCTCCATGCTCTCATTGTGGAAGAGAGGACACAGACATGGACAGAGCCTTGAACTCAGATGCTGGTAAACACTTTCACTTTTTTCTCTTTAAGCTATTCAGTTTTGATTTTTGTTTTTTTTGTTTTTTTACTACTTCATCCTGTCAGTTGTATGTTATGCCAGTGGCAGTCAGCAGGTATTTTTATGGATGCTAAATTCACACTGTCTTTGGGCCCCACAGGGAACATTATGTGTCTGTAATGTTGTTGGTGTTGGTTGTTGTACATGACTTATTAATGCTGACTCTCATCCATCTTTAATGTGGAGAGACCAGGTACAGCTTAGTGGTTGCAGTGGCCACTTGTTTTACAAAAATATGGAAAACAAGGCATGTTGAGACATTTTCAGTATTGACATACTAGCTAGAGGAAGCCTGGAGCATTTGTGAATGCATACAAAGCGGATGTGATAAGAACAGTAGGTGAGTCATGTCTGATGGTATATTTACCATCTGTAAATGTACCGTTCCTGTAATGTTATCAGCTTGTGTGGGTGCATGTGTTTCATTATGGAAAATCCTGGCAAGATGACAAGATTATATGCCTGTGGAGAAGTTTTATCAATGCAAAACTTTATCACAACTTTGCACGACGGTTTCACAAAACATCACAAGTTTGTAGTTGAGTCTAGCTGAAGATGAATGTGGTTTTATGCATGGTGTAATGTACCATTGTTTACGCCAACACATGGGTTGAATGCCAGCATTTGACAGGTGTTTAAATGCTTTGCAAGATACTTTCTAGTAACAGCTATCCTTTTCCCTCTGTTCTAGGCCTTATCATTTGTCAAACAAAGGTGAAGTCTTTATTGGATCATTGTATGTTTGAACTCTTAATAAGATGGTACTGGTTTGCCTAACTTTGTTCATTTGCATTTCATTTGCGTGTAATTTGGTCCCTGCAGTTAGATAGGGTTGTAATGTCTCCTGGCTTAATTTTCATTAAACAAGTTTCAGAGCAGCTTATGCTTATCCAATGGTTCATAAAGTTCAGGCCCTTTCAACATCAAGCTTATTGGCATGCTCAGATGAGAGAGTTGCACCGCCGGCTCTAATTAGGCAATGTAATTTTAATATTGGGTTTGTGCCCAAACTGGTTTGACTGCATTAGCATTGCTTTTGGGTGATTACTTGACTAGCACCACTCACTGTATCACTTTAGGTCACACTGCTGTGAATGTGTTTATGCAGAAAGATAAAAGTATATTTATAGATGTTCTTTGTTTGTGTCCTTTGGTACTTCATTCTGATGTCATTGTACATTACATGACTGCTTCCTGTGTTGTCAGGCTCTGAACGTTTGCAGTCCACACATAATCCACTAGCTCTTGGTCAAATCCTGAAATTGAGCAAGAGTTGTATAGATCTGCAGGTAGCTGTTGAGTTGTTTTGAGTCTTAGTCTAGGTTTACTTCATTGATCTTTACCAGGAATATGAGTAAGTAATGCTTGTGTAACATGTCAGGGTGAGTGGGACATTGAAACTCTGGAAAACATCCACCAAATAAATGTAAATCGCCATTGTTTTCCTTTGTCTGATACACCTGGGCTTGCTTGCAAACATGGACGAGTCAATCTGAGAAGCTGTCAATATTGAGACAAATCTAAAAAAGTGAGAGAAGTCCTACCAGTCTACAAACCTAAAAAGTATTGATGTTTAAGGAGTTTAAGTAGTTGTCCATATTTCTAAATGATAAACTCGTGGTTCATTGAGTTTGAGCAGCACAACGTTTCAGAATCCCCAGAAATCATGTGATGATATTAGACCACAAAAGGTATTCCTTTCACATGGCTGAACTGGTTGGAAATTTGCCCTGAAGCTGCTTCATTAAGCTTTGGATGAATAAACAGAACTATTTTAAGCTGAAATTTTTAAAAAAAGAAACCCTTTTCCCACTGCAATGCTGTCCTGTTTAGTTCAGTGATTTTTGGTTCCACATTTGTTTTGGTCTTTCTGTATTCCCCAGGGTCAATAAATGCAGAAACTAACATTGCTCACATAAATCACATAAATTCAGAGGGTTTTGTGTTTGTAGAGAAACGTTTTCTGCTTTTGACAAAAGCAAGTTAAAACAGACACAACTGAGTGGACAGTGGACATAATATCACAGCACATAATGACTGGTTGCTGATTTGGAAAACAAACAAGCCTCAGCTCTGTAAAATGTGGACTTGGAATTAGGTGTATTCAGATGATGCATATTTTAAAACAATCAAGGAAGATCTGCTTGATGTAATTAAATCATTTATTACTAAGTGTACAACAGTTACAAAAGTTGATTCTTCAGAGGCTCTCTTCTAGGATATGAACAAATTGTTGTTTTTTGTGTTTGTTTGTTTTGTTTTTGGGGTCTTTCTTTGTCAGAGTAGGGGAGTGAGAAGCAGATGCCAGTCAGGAAAATGAGCGTGTGCGCGTGTGCGTGCTATAAGTTGTCTGGCTGATAAATGTCTCTTTGCAGATATCAGGGGGACGTGATTCCTCCCAGCAGTCTGAAATTGCCTCTCCTATTACTCTTCCTGAATGGCAGCGAATAGCAGAATAATTGTGCGATTAGGGCTCCATTATTTCTTTGACCCTTGAAACAATATTTCTCTCTGTTATCTGTTCACTTTTCAGCATGCAGAGCCTACTCCTGCTTCCCAATCAATTATGTCTCTTTGGGCATTGTTTTACCAGAGTTATTTATCTGCATTTGTTCTGTATTGCTTTTTCAAAGTTGAAAATGTAAAATCCAAAGTTAAAGGATTGAGGCTAATTCTTAGAGTTGTCATTTAATTTAGCATCACTTAAGTGATGATAATTTACTCTACGAACTGATTACTATCGACATATTGCCATACTAATGAAAATCTATTAAATCAAGAAACAACAAAAAAACCTGTTTCCATTTCTCCCATAGTTTCTCGTCTTTTTGTTTTTGTTTTTTTTTTGTTGTTGTTTTGTTTTGAATTGAATTGAACTTTTCTGTGTGTCCAATGCCCCTTCTTTTCTTTCCTCCTTCTCAGCATGCCAGAAACCTTATACAAGTACCAGCTAGTTCCCAGAGATGTTATGGAAACTCTGATCTCAAGTGACTCAGTAGGAGAACGCCATCCTACAGTGATAATCCAACAGGGCAAAAGTGCTACATCTTTGTTATTATTGTTTTTTGTTTTTAATTTCACTAGAGAGGTGGGCACATTTAATAAACACAGTCTGCTGATGGTTGTCTACTGTATACCTCCCTTTGGGATTCGTATGCAAGTTTGTTTATGTGTTTTTGTCAGTGTATGACTAATCTGTGTTTGTTTCCCAGCAGCATGATACCAGATCTTGGTGGATTTTTGGTGTGCAGCTTTGGTTTACATCATTTAATTTCAAGCCTCGCTTAACACGTTTCAGTTCATGAGATTCCATACATCAGGATGTAGGGGCTCAGTTAATAAGACTAAGAACATTTTGTAGGATATATCCAAAAATATCCCACTTGGTACAGTTTCTACATGCTGATTACAGCTGTGGGTGTGGTGCAGAATATTGATCAGGGTGCTACTTTTTATGGTAGTTGGAGCAGATGCCAGCTTTCAGTCAGGTTTTTAGAAACGCAGCATATAAGAATACATTTGGGATTAGAAGGATAGTGGTATTAGTAACAACAATGTTACTAATAACTAGTAACAACAATGTTACTAATAACAGGAACTGCAAATTATTGCGATTACACCCCTAAATCATCAGTTACGTGCCTACAAGTGAAAAGAGACATTCCCCAGTGGAATACATACTCATGTTGAAAGAATGTTGTTATTCTTACCCACAGTAAATCTGATTCTTTCATTGTTTCATTCGTGGCCTTTTCCTTTTGTTTCACTGCTTTTAGTGATGGATACCAAAGCAGTATTTGCGGCCCTGTACGGTGTGTGCGAAGAAAATGCAGCTTTCTTCTCAGGGGGAGCCAAGGGGTCACAGGGTGATGCTGCACGGCGGCTGGTGGAGGCCATGAAGCAGATTCAGGAGCACGCTCGCAATCTGGAACCTGTTATTTCTGGCTTTGCTAATGTTTACCATCACTTTGATTTTGATCCACATATACCAGCTAATGGCTATCGCTCCCTGGTCAAGGTAGGCTTTCTGATGTTTTAAGGTCTTTTTGTGTGTATAAATGAACTCTTGGATGTGTGTTTTGTTTTGTTTTTATTTAATCTCTGTGCAGCTTGGAGAAATGGTACCTCTTCTGCAATACATTCTTATCAATATTCTTTCCACACTGTGAGAAACTATTCACAGCACCTCTTTGCTTGAATATCACTTTGTTTCACGGTTGGTCTGTTTTTTTTACAGATTGATTTTATGTTACAAAGTGGGCAAGATAAATTCCTCCAGCTGCGAATATCTGCCTCTACTGTATCCACTGTACTTTATCTTGTACAGTTATTGATGAAACATCGTGACCTTCGGTTACTGCAGCCCACCACAACAGAATGAGTCTAGTAGAGCAGCAAATGAATCCTGTTCTGTTTTCTGGCTTCTCTGTTTCCACATTTATAATCCTTCTCATTCCAGCAGTACCACTCTTGCTAATCTGTAACACCCAGTGAAGCAGGAAGTTTTTTACATGTTCTCATTTAGCCATGCTTTCACACATCCTCTCCTTTCCCTTTAGGCTTACCACACTAATCTTAATCACAACTTAAGCACACCCAGAAGACTTGTCTCTTTAATGAGTGCACAAATGGAGACTTTAGGTTTTGTTTTTTGTTCTTTTAAATAATGCGTATTGCTGTGTATCTTCATTTCAAGAATAAATATAATTCTATAAAATTGTATCCCTTTAACACCCAGTAATATAATGTTTCCTAATACTTTATATTAGTACTTAATAACGTTTTTAAGGTTCGTGTAATGTGATTTAGAATTTGCTGAATGTCAAAGTAAACTTTATTGTGTGGCGGATGTTTTCTAATTTTAGGTACCGGTATTTTATTGTCACTTTTTTTTTATTTTCTAGGTTGTGCGTTGCTGCCTTCTCCACATCATCCACAAGGGCCACTACATCACAGCCAACCGCCGCAGCATCTTCTTCCGAGCAGCACATAATGCAGGGGAAATGGAGGCGTACTGTAATGCTCTGTGCCAGCTGCGTGCCCTGCTTTACCTGGCTCAGCGCATGCTACATGACAACAGCCACGGCAATTTGTTTTTCCAGGATGAAAGCGGGCTCAGCGAAAGTTTTGTCCGTGAATATGCATCCATGCACAAGGGTTGCTTCTATGGCCGTTGTCTGGGCTTTCAGGTGAGATGAGCTGTTTTAGCAGTCATATGATGTGACAAGGATACGCACTGGGAACTGTGGAGTGGTGAGAGTAAGAAAACGTGTAAAACTCTTATAACAGTATAGATGAGCAGCACTACTCATAGCTACAGTTCTGGTAAAGGTTATATACATTTTTCATTCATCAAATTTTTCATATTGCATTCTACACCTTTAACTTTTTTATATTTTGTGTTGTGTTAGGACTAGTTAGTTGCGGAATAGAGGTCTCAAAGATTTCTATAGTAATTTGTAAAGTATTCTTTAGTTTTGTAAAAGAAAGAACTTGTTTATGTTTGAGGCAACTGGCCTGTTACCTGGTCTGTGTATATTCCCCTTCTTTTATTTTAGAAATAGGAATTGACCCTAAAAAGAGATGTTAAGGCTATGAGAAATACAGAACGACGATCTGGTCATCTTTACAGCAGTTCCCATTTTTCTCAGTTGAGCTTAACAAGGGAGACTGAACTCTCATAGCACAGAGGTCAAAAGCAAACTAAAGGGAAAAAATGATGAAGCTCCCTTTGAGTCTATTTTCTATCAATTTGTAATCTCTTACAATTCTGATATTATGAGATCTTCTCATTCTTTTTTCACTTTCTTTTGTAGTGATTCTAGTCACATTTGTGTTCTATTTCTTATGTTTAAATGTGTGGATAGTGGACTGGAATTGAAATTATTTTCTCTGTTTTTGTACATGCCTTCTCCCCTCTAGTTCACTCCAGCCATTCGCCCCTTTCTTCAGACCATCGCTATCGGCCTTGTGGCCTTTGGAGAAAACTACAAGCGGCATCAGTCAGGAATAGGTCAGCAACATCTTGTCTGCATCTGCACCCTCTCATCATCCAGCCAGATCGTTTTCATTCATAGATCGTACTCATCCAGCCCCACACCTCTTCTACATTGCTCCCTTGCCCCTGACTGTGTAACTTTTGATGTTGTGTTTGGATTGTAGATGCTCTTTCATCCCTTGGAATCTTGAGGGCTTGCTGCTGTGCTTCTTTTATATTTCAGAATGTTTTGAACATGCACATAGTTGTGTACAGAGGCAGCAAGAGAAGAACATGCTCTGTCATAGACACACATGTATTGTGCATGTGTGTACACAGACAGAAAACTATTTAACATTCAGTAAAGAATTATCCATTTCTCATGGTTTCTTGTGCTCTCTGCTGCACCACAGTGGAAGCAGGAGGTATTGCACCATATGGTGAGTGTGCTAGACCACCACCCCTTTTATAATATTCCTCTGTAGTGGTCTGTATAACTGTGTGAAGAAACTTATTTTATTCTAAAGCTCTTACTCTGCCAAATTGTTCTGCATTTAGCACTGTAAGCTACATTAGCATTCCTCTGCCTGTATATCATCATGATAAAAGGCCTTTCCTTACTGCCCATCCTTGACCCATAATCGTGGGCAGTAAATAAACCGCTGAAAGCAAGAGAAGATTGATAATACAATTGAGTCCTTGTGTGGCTTACCATGAGCCCAGTACAGTAGACTT